AAGAGAAAGGAATGCCTCCTCCCTTCTTTCTGCCTCTTAGGAGAGAAACGCCCCCAGAATGCAGGCAGGAGGGTCCCAATGATAAGTAGCTTCAGTTTTGCCCCTGGCGTGCCACCCAGCCCTATGAGCATGGAAATGCACAGAACATTGGTGTGAGTTGTTTACTCGTTAATGAGTTTGCACCACCTTCTGTACTTAATGAGTCATTCAGGCCATTCAGGGATGATGCTGATATGCACAAACCCCTCCTCTAATCTGGTTGGCTAGTTCAGTTCCTGGGTGTGAGTGGGCAGGTCCTCCAGAGTAGGCCTGTTCTAACAGTGCTTCCTTGTCCTGTCAAGAGGAGCTAAAATCCAAGGTATCAGGAATAGACTTGGTCTGGGAACAATGCTGGGGTGAACCCAAGCTTCTGCTGAGACACAGCTGCAACTATCAAGTCATTTTGCCCCTTCCTGTGGCTGGCTGAGCATCCAGAGGTCAGGATTGCAATGAATTTTAGTATATTGACGGGGATTTTAAACTACAGCTATTTTAAAGGTGTTGCTTTGAAATTGTTTTTAAACAAGTTTTAAACTTGATTTATATAAGCATTTACTTCTTAATGATAATACCTGAATTACAACCTAATTGATAGAGTTAATATTCTTTAGAGGCTAAGACTACTTGACAAAAAATTGTTACACAGACTTTTAAAAACAGTCCTGGGCTTAAGTAATTTATTATTCTTAAAGTCTTACCAGTCTCTCAGATAATTAACGTGCAAGTACCCCACGACAGAGCAAAAATTTTGCTGGGTTTATGATCTGGTGGTCCTTTGATCCCCAAAATAAGATTACTTGCCTATTTCCTTAATTTTACTGGATAAAATGAGATTCTTAAAACATCTCATTTAGGCTAGTAAAGAAAAAAAAAGGCCATATTTGTAATGGACCTAACATTTATAAACACCTAATTTAAGTGAACTCTACCTGAAGCATACTCCACAAGAGGCGCTTCAAATTTCACTGGTGCACAGCCACTTCTGCTGTCGAGTAAAATTGCTTTCTTATTTTAAGCAAACAACACTCTTAAGGAAATAAAATTAGATAAGGCATCCAGCTGTTAACAGCAGTGCCATCCATTCAATGAATGCTTGCTCAGGGCTCACTCCATGTCAGGCACAGAGACAGAACGGCAGGCAGGGCAGACAGGGCCCTCTTCAACTACCCTACAAGTCAGTGGAGGAAACCAATTTTTAAAATTAGCAAAATAATTACAAATCGTGATCACTGCTAGGAAGAGAAAAGCGCAGAGATAGGAATAACATCAGGGAGGGAGGCACTGCCTACTTTAGGAGGTCAGGGAAGGACTCAATGAGGAGGTAACATTTGAGCCAAGACCAGAGGACACTGTGAGACCTGCCAGAGCAGGAGGGAAGGTATCCCTGGCAGAGGAAAAAGCTTGTGCAAAGCCTCACCGTCCTGAAAGGAGCTTGATAGGTTTAAGGGACTAAAAGACCAATATGTCTGAGGCATAACGTACCCAAGGTCGTATATGCGACGAGTTTGAGGAGGCAGCTAGGTCATAAGAACTTCGAAGCGCTTTTGGCAGGGGAGTGACACGATCTGATGTGTATTTTGAGAAGGTCACTGTGGCTTCCAGGTGGAGCACAGATGAGGGTGGGGGAGAGGAAATGCAGAAATCAGTAGAGCCTCCAATCATGGCTGAAGCAGGATGGTGGCTTGGAACACCAGTGATTACAGTAGGGAGGGACAAAAAGGTGCACATTCAGGGTGTATTTTGAAGGTGGAATAAACAGTCATGCTGGTGGGTGGGGTGGATGGGAGGGGTGGTGAGCAAAAGAGGAGTTAAGGATTACTCTCAGATTTCCAGCTGGAGCAACTGGGAAGGTGGTGAAATCCTATCCAAAGATGGGGAAGACCAATGGAAAAACAGGTTTGGAGAAAGACATCTTCACTCCTTAGGTGTACGCCTCAGTCTCTCAGTCATTCGAATAACTTAGATCTCCATTTAGGATTTCTTTTAAAAGGCAGGTATGTAGCAGGAAACTGCTGCCTGGCCTACGGTGGGCCCAGACTTTTTATATAGGAGAGTTCAGGGGACAGGCAGCAACATGGTTGCGAGTGGGAGCTGGGGGCTTATCCTGACCCTGCATTTGATAAATACACACAGTTTTTATTGATTGTGTGTTTGCTTAGGGTGATTTGGTGGGCTAGAGAAGATCATGAGAGGGAGGGCTAAAGACTCCAAAGCTACTCCTTGGTATTGTCACTCACTAAAAAATTAGGGGAGAGATAGTACTGCGGAACTTAAATATTTTCTAAAAACAACAACAAAAAGGAATTTGGTGTGCATTTTCCGTGTTATTTCACACATGGGTTATTGTTCCAACAGTGTGGTTAGTCTAGGAAGAAAATAATTAAAGATGTAAATGTGTAAGCCAACAGTCAAAACCACTCTAAACAGCCCAGGGTTGTGAACTTATTTAATTTGCCCTTTCCCTGAGGAGTCATTTCTTGGATCATTGACTTATTATTATTCTGTAAAACAGTGGTAGCCCCTATCATCCTCTGCCTATTGCCGGAGTATGATCCAGCTATGGGGTTTGAAGAGTTTATGTTTATTGGATTTTAATGACTCAGTTAATAAAGGTCATTCCTAAAAGTAATAGAAACCCAAGTGTGTGGAAACAGAATGGATAAGACAGACTCGGTGGACATTTCTAGTAGTTCCTTGGTGTTGTCCTTAGATATATGTTTAATTCTTAAAAGCAATTAAGGATTTTTCCTTTTAATCAATTTACTGATGTGATATTCAACTACACTTGTAAAATGTTATTTGAAACTCCTCAATAATAAAAGATACCATGTAAACATCAGGCTTAAAATATGTTAGATAATATTGGCATAACAATATGATATATTGTTAATATAATATTGATAACAGTATAACTGTAATTTTATATAACTGTAATATTTGTTAGTATCATATCCAGTGTTCTCCAATTTTTTTGAGAGAATGAAGCAACTTTACGTCTCAGGTGAAATCTGGTTGGATATGAATCTTGAAGTTAAAAGGGACCTTAAAGATCATTTAATCTTGTCCTTTTAAATATTTACTAACAATGAATGATTTAATAAATATTTACCCAAAATAGTGTTTATTAGACTGCGAAAAAATTCCCTACAGTAAATGGTGATTGCTTGAATTATCTAAAATTAAATCGATAACAGCATTTAAGAATGTCAAAAGGAATAAATTTATAGTCATTCCCCAGATATAGATTTCTTAACAAGTATTTTCCACCCTAAAATCCAATGAGATGAGATATAAATGTATAATTCATACATGTAATACATTTCTTACATAGTTTTTTTACAAAGCCTTCATGATCTGCTTTCTGTTGACTTGTCCATCCTTGTCTCTTTTTTTCCTACCCCCCTCAGTCTTAGCTACAGCTTTACTAATCTTCCTACTCTGAGCCTCAAAACCACACTGCTCTCTCAGGTCTCAAGGCCTACGCACAGGGGTTTCCCTCTGCCTGGAATCCCTTTCCCTCATTCTTTACTGGGTCATTCTGCAGGCCTAGTATTACTTCCTGCCGGAAGCCTTCTGTCCATCTCCTTTACCCTAATCTCAGACCCCAGAGAGGCGTCAGATGTTCTTGGGCAAGTCTCTGCTCAGTTTTTCTGGGAGAACAAAACTAACACTGTCCTATCCATTGGTCAATCCTCAACCCCTAGAACAGTGTCTGAAACATAACAGATACTATGAATAAGTGAGTGGATAAAGACAGTGAGCAGCGAAGAACTTGATATTTATAGTATACACTTTTAAACAATAACAAATTTGAAGAAATAAAGTTGCTGTCTTTAAAAAATATATTTCACTTCAATTCATTTCTTCTCTAAAAAGAGAACATACATAGCCTGGCATCAGTTTGACATGAGACAAAAATTTTAGTATTTAAAAAAAAATTTTACTATTGTTGTATGTTATATTTCTTTCAACAGGTTAGATAAAATGTAGAATCCAGAGGGTTAAAAATGCAAATGGCAGGATACTGTATAAAATCAATTCAAGCACTATAACTCTCAACTTGTAAGCTTTGTCCTCAGCAAATGAGTTCAAAGAAAGGAAAAAGTCTTTAAAACCTTCTTCTCGGAAACTAACCCCCTTTAAAAATGCCAGCATTTCCCCCAGAGAATGGATATGGTCTGAGTACTTCCATTTCTGAAATTGTGCAAGAAAAAACGACTTGGCTTCGAGAGCCAAACTGCATCCTTCTATACAGGTTTAAGGTCATTCAAGTCTCTATTGAAAACATTATTCTTATTTTAAGAACAAAGGGAGCAATAAAACATTAGCTTGGGCAAGAAGGACCAAGCACTATGTCCCTAGAGAGATTTGGGGGGGGGGGAGTTAAAGCTTGTATTAGACCTGATAACTCTAGACTGCACACGTTTTGCCAAATAATGTGGGAAACAGAAAAAGAAATTCAAAAAAACTTTTGCGTGTCCTACCTCGTAGAACCTCTAGCAATGAACCAAATACTCTTGAACAAAGCTCAATTTTTTTTTTCTGATTCAAATCTCAGACTATTGAAAGAGGACCAGGTCTCCAATAAATATAAGACCCAGCCTCGTTGCACGTTTAATGGCTGACATTTTAAAAGCAGGATTGCTATTTACAATTAATGAATCAAACTACCAAACTAAAATAATGACAATAATAGTAACAAGAAATGTGACAGTAATAGTAACAATAAATGAATTTGCTAGGGGGTAATTTCAGGAAGGAACGCTGGGGGCGCTGCTTCCTCCCGTCCACACCACCGACCTCTCCTTTGGCTCCCAGCGGACACCCTCGGCAGGATTCAGCCCCCTTCTCTTCTCTCCACGAGAGAAAACTCGTGGGGAAGACCCGTATTTCCACGTCAAAGACCTTAAAAGCCCGCGGAGCCGTTCCCGGGGAGCCCCGGCCCGCCCCCGCCGCCTTACTCTGGGGCTCCATGGTCAGCTGCTCCCGGGCCCCCACGGGCCGAGCCCCGCCGCCGCCGCCGCCCCTCCTAACGCCTCTCCTCGGGGCAGGCGTCGCTCGGGTTGCCCTGACAACCCGGAGGGCGGGGGAGGAGGGGCAAGAAGGACGGCGGGTGGGAGGGACCAAAAGCCGCGAGGAAACGCGGGCGAGTACGAGGCCCGCGCGTCGCCGCCGGGACCCAGCGAGAGGGGCGGCCCCGTCGCCGGCTCTAGACTTTGCCCTTGAGGCCTGGTCGGGCGGTCGCGGCCTCCCTGGCGGCCCTTGCGCCCCCGCCGCGGCCTCTGCCTGCGCCTTTAGGGCGGGGCCTGCGGGCCCGCCGTCGCCGTCGCCAGGCGTCCGTCGGTCCTTCGGCCCGTGCGTCCGGCGAGCTCGGCCTGCCCGGTGGGGAAGGGCGGCCGGGCCTGGGCCTCCCTCCCGGGACTCGGGAGCCGCCGC